TTGGGCCACCACGTTGGCTGGGGTGAACCAGGCTTTGCCCCATCCCTGCCTCCCCACAATGGAGCCTGTACCCTGATAATTGCCATGAAAGCAGCAATCAGGTTGGTAATTTTGCTGAGCTCTTTTCAGTTCTAATTAACATTATTCATTTCTTGTGTGTCCTGCTGGGTTGAGACAATCTGTGCTCTCCAGCCCAGCCCTCTGGAACACCAGCAATCTGCATAAGAGGCAACAAAAAAAAAAAGTGTTGTGTGCCAATTACTACACTTCAGTAATTAAAAACCTCCTTCCCCCCACTGCCAGCCCACCTCCTCTGCCGTCACTTTCTGTGTGCAAACTCATGAAAGCAAAGAGAGAAATTCAGGAGGGCATGTCACTGTGGGCACGTGCCATCTGTGTCTGTGCCAGCACTGCAGAAGGTACCAGAGGCTGGATGGGGCATGGGTGGGATCAGTGGTCAGGGTGCTCAGCTTCAGCACCCTGTTGCTTATGTATTCCTCATATTTGATTTTGGGGATGGTTTGTCCCCACCAAGGGCTTTGTTGGCACTTTCAGCCCTGCTCATCTTTGTGCTCATTTTATCTAAGGTGGCAGAATCCTTATGACTTTGCTTTCCCTCTTTCAGTTTGTCTTTGAGTGGTGTCTCTGCAGCCAGGTGGGACCCTTTGGCTGCATGAACTCAGCCCCTTAAGATGTGGGGGATGCTGGTTTGGGGGGAGAGCAGCCAGGACCTCATGAGCCAGCTTGAAAGAAGAGAGTGGGTAGCAAAGCCAAGAAGTATTGGCTGCAGGAGATGGTGATGGGTCTGAAAAGGGCAGCACCAGCCTGGATCCCTTTGCACCCACCACATGTCATTGGTTGAGGAGTGCAGGGCAAGGTCATGAGCACGTGAGTTGTGACAGGTAGGGGAGATGCACACAGCTCTTGCCTTTGTTCAATGCATGTAACTGTCCTAAAATGCCCAAATTTGTGGTCATTTTGAGGTGCCCTCAGTGGCAGCAGGGAGCAGAGGGTCTGGTGCAGCATGAGGAGCTGCATCTCTCTGCAGACCATCGCTGCTTGCCCCCAGGATAATGCAACACTGGTGGATTAGCAGTGTTTCCACCTCCTGTTGGAGAAACCAAGAGGCTTGGGACTCTGGGTTTATTGGGAAAGAAGCACCAGTGAAAGGGAGCAGTATCATCTCCTTGTGTTGGCAGACAGCAGTTTTTCATCTTCCTGGAGGAGAAGTCCTTGCTGTCTGAGCAGGAACAAAACAAGGATTATGGATCTTGAGAGAGAAAATTACCTCATCTGTGCTTAATTGTTTTTAGATCATCTTTTTGGAGGCGAGTGCTGTTTTCCAGCACCCCAAGGACCTCTCCCTCCCCTCTCTCCCTGGCACACTGCAGGGTGAGAGTGAGGGTGAGAGCTTCCAGGGAGCTGGAGGAGGGATCCCAAGGCTTTTTGCACCTTGCCAGGAGTGGGGTGGGAAGGGGGAAGCTGTGGGCTCACAGTGGCTTTGCTCTCCACCTGTGCTTGGAGCTTAGCTTCCTGGCCAAAGCCAAAGGCTTTCCACTTGGCTGCCTGCAAGAGAGGAGGGCTTCCCATCCCTGCTCCAGGCTGCTGGAGAGAGGAGCTGCTGGAGGAGGGAAGGGGGAGCAGATGGAGGGGCTGGAAGAGCATTGGGTCGCTGTGATGAGCCTTGGCCACAGGGACCCCGACCGGTGCTCGTGTGAGGAGGAGCAGGTTTAGCACAGTGGTTGAAAGGAGCTCAGGTAGGAGCACAACCTGCCATCCCCTAAATAGCCCAGAGGATCCAGAGGTCAAAGTGTCTCTTTCCCAGGAGCTGTTTCTGTGCTTTATTTTATATATATATATATATTGGCTGAGGAGCTCTAAGAGACAGGGAAGAATATAAAATAACAGCTTGAAGCTTGCCGATCCCAGGGACAGAGAAGCGTGTCTAGGTGATAAGAAGAGATTGTGCCTGGGTGCTGTGAAGGGCGAAAGCACTTATTTCACAGTTGCCTCATGCGTTACCTGAGCCCCGTTGCTTTTCAAAAGCACTTAAATGCCCATATGATAGAGGGAATGCTTGGATTGCACACTGTCTGGCTCCATTATTATCCAAGGATCTCCAAGCTGATGCATTTCATAAAGAAAACTGGCGTGGAGGAGGAGAGAGGAAATGTATATTTTTAGTTCAGCCTCCTTACCAGGTCCTCAAGGCTAATGTCTGCAGAAGGGGCTGGTCTAAGAAATTCAAACCATGTCTGTTTTCTCATCAGCCAGCCCTGGACTCCCCTGTGTTTGTGCAGAACCACCACCACAGGAGCCTATTTTCATGGTGCCAGAGCCAAGCACCAAATATCCACTTCATTTTATTTGTGCCCCATAGGTCTGAGCTCCCAGCAGAGCTCCGATTCGGAGTTCAATAGACTAAACTCATCCTCTGGGAAGAAAACTCCAGTTTAATTCAACTTGAGCAACTGAACTCTCATGTTTTTTACTCGAGTTGTAATGCAGCTGAAAGCAAGAGCTGAGTTCTTGGTGTTCAGCCCAGGCTGAATCTATTGCTTTTTTTTATGTAGACCATAAAAATCTGCTCCCATTTAATTTATTATTATCGTAATATCATTATGGAACAGTAGTAAAATTGTTTAATTTATTCCATGCTTTTCACACCAGAGAGGGAGGATGGTGCAGGAGTTGGGTACTTGCCTGGCAAATAGGAGTGTCCTGAGTTGCAGACAACCCATCTCACCTTGGGTATATGTCTCCTCATGTTGTGTGTTGAGGCTGAACGAGCTATTTGGGCTTCTCCTGTAATCACTGGGGCCAAAGAGATACCTCCAGAAAGAGGTTGGAGGGGACAGGACAGCTTGTCTCCAGGTATCTTTGCTGGCATCAGTAGAGGACGTGGGCAGAGAAGTCACCCATGATAGAATCATGGAATCAAAGTTGGATAAGGTCTCTAAGATCACTGAGTCCAGCTGTTAACCCAGCACTGCCAGGCCCACCCCTAAACCATGTCCCTAAGCACCACATCTAATGGTCTCTAAGATAGTCCAGCTGTTAACCCAGCACTGCCAGGCCCACCCCTAAACCATGTCCCTAAGCACCACATCTAATGTTTTTGAACACTTCTAGGTATGGTGACTCCATCCTGGGATGGTGACTCTACCCCTACCCTGGACAACCTGTGCCAGGGCTTGACAGCCCTTTCCATGAAGAAATTTTCTCTAATATCCAACTGAAACCACCCCTGGTGCAACTTTAAGCCATCTCCTCTGGCCCACCCCTAAACCATGTCCCTAAGCACCACATCTAATGTTTTTGAACACTTCTAGGTATGGTGACTCCATCCTGGGATGGTGACTCTACCCCTACCCTGGACAACCTGTGCCAGGGCTTGACAGCCCTTTCCATGAAGAAATTTTCTCTAATATCCAACTGAAACCACCCCTGGTGCAACTTTAAGCCATCTCCTCTTGTTCTGTCACATGTTACCTGGGAGAAAAGATCAACCTGCATCCATCTACAGTCTCAAAGGAGGTTATAAGGATCTCCAGCAAGGAGACAGCTCACCCAGAGGAAGGACACAATCCCTAAAGTGTTGGGATAAGCCCACATGCCACAGATAGATCCATCCTTGCTGTCACCTCCCCTGCTAGCTCAGTCTGGCATGTAGAGCCCATTAAACCCCTTACATTCCATGGGGTCACCCCATGTGAGACCTCCCAGAGTTTTCCATGCTCTTTTTCGCTGCCTCCAAAGTTAATTTGCATCCCAACCACTGCACAAGTAATGAAGTAGTTTGGGGAAGGATATAAACAGTGGATCTCAGGCTGAGTGGTTTTATGCAGGGACATTATCCTCTGGAGTTGGCATCCAGCAAAGCACAGCTAAGTCCTAACAGCTCCATAATCCCAAATTTTCTTGGAGAGAAGTGGGGTTTTACCTGGCTTGGGGGGGGGGCTGCGGGTTTCTGCTGCCCAGGGGGAGTCTTAATGTTTGTCTCGAGGGGATTTGTGGCAATCCTTGCTTAGGATATGGAGATGGAGGGTCACAGGACTGGCAGGGACCTTTCAGAGGAGCACAGCTCGTCCCTGCTAATGTGGAGAGGGAAATGATTTGTGGCAATCCTTGCTAAGGATATGGGGATGGAGGGTCACAGAACTGGCAAGGACCTTTCAGAGGAGCACAACTCGTCCCTGCTAATGTGGAGAGGGAAATGATCTCCTCCAGGAGCAAAGTCTCTGCTAGGTTTGCACTGTGTTGTCTCCTGGAGGGGCTCAGATGCTTAATGAGGCAGGATAGAGAGGATTTCTAGCTCCAAAACATCCCTCAGTAAGCGAAATGCTCAGCTGGGGAAAGGTGCAGTGAGGGAGGTGCAGCGATGCAGGTGTGATGGGTAGGGAAGGCAGAGCTGACAGAGGGGACAAATGGTCAGATGCTCAAGGTTTCTCTTTATAGGTGTGTATGTCAGAGCTGGCTTCCTGCAGAGATAAATTTTCCTCGCTCCTTTGTGAAGCAGCACAAGCTGCTTTCTTTACATTTCTTTGTCTGGCTGCAGGGATGAGAAGGTCTCCAGAGAGAATGACAAGTGATGGGTTTGGGCAGGAGGTAACAACCTGCATCCTCCCAGAAGAGTGGGGTTTGGACTCAGGATGGAGGGTTTGGCTCAGGTCTGCTTGTGTCTGTGTTTGCAAAGGAGTAAATGGGAATGGAGGAGTGAGAGGTGCTTTGGTGGCTGGTACTGGGTGACTCTGACCTCCCAATCTCTGAAAACATTGTGAGGCTCTCAGCAAAATCTCCGGAGCCACCAGTTTAGAGAGATATCAGTGCCCTGAGCACTGCAGGTAAAGTGCTGACCTTGTCCTCTTTGGACACTGAAAGCACTTGGTCTCTGAAACTGCTGCTGACAGCAAAGCTAAAAATAGTGCCAGAAGGACCAGGAGGGCTGGGGAAGGGAGGGAGAGCACCCAAGAGCAGCTCACTGATGGGTCACCTCTCTGCCTCCCCACAGGTGCTCCGTGGACAACCGAGTCACCCGAGTGGCCTGGCTGAACGGCAGCAGCATCCTCTATGCCGGCAATGACAAGTGGTGCTTGGACCCTCGGGTGGTGCTCCTGGCCAACACCAAAACCCAGTACAGCATCCAGATCCAGGATGTGGATGTGTATGATGAGGGCCCCTACACCTGCTCCGTGCAGACAGACAATCACCCCAAGACATCACGTGTCCATCTCATCGTGCAAGGTAAGAGGAAGGGAATTCATACAGGGTTTGGACTTGGGGATTTGGTTTCATGTTCCTTTTGCCCAGCTGTCTTCTCCTCCCATTGCTCCTACGTTGGAGTGTGTAACACAACGTGGTGCAGACATAGAGGCTGACCAACAGACTTGGAGTGTCTCTCTCAATGCATTTATCCAACTTTCCTGGAGTAATCCCAAGTCTCTGATACAGACAGCTCTGCCTCTCAACACAGTTGCTGGCAAACCTGTGTTGCTGTTTGTTGTTGTTGTATTTTGATGGGTTTTTTGTTTTCCATGCTGGAGGCATTGCTGGAAGTAAACCTCGTGTTGGGGGAAAAGAGAGAGCTGGCAGATTTATGTGCTTTGTGGGGGTGGGTGTGTGTGTATGCCTAGCAACAATATGTGTCTGTGTGTTGAAACTGCTTCTGGGAGGAGGAGGAGGAAGGTCAGCTTGGGGTTAGGGAGCACTTTTTGGTGGTTAAGTGGCTGCATACGTGTGCTCTTCAGCAAGTGTGTGAGCACACATGGGCTCTCAAGAGGGGACAGACAAGCATGACCACACATGATGGTCAAGCAGATGGATGTTCATGGAAGATAGCTCCCGTGTCCATGTGTGCTGGGCAAGGGGAGAGCCTCATGGAGGGACATATGTGGCCTGGTGAGCTCTTAGCCTCGGGGAAGATTAATGGAAAACTTCTAATCCCTTGCTAGCAAGCTTTTTTTTTTTTTTCTTTCCTGCTCCTCCTTCTGTGATTTGGCCAGGAGCCCTCTTAACATGACATTACCAGCTTGAGTATTGGAATCTCGTCTCGGGCTAATTTTCGAATGCTGATGGGTGTATTGATTTGGAAACAAGCTGGGTTAAAAAGGCATTGGTCTTGTACACAGTCGGGTTGAGCTAATCCGCCGTCGATATGCCAGGCCTGAGCACTATTGACAGCCTAATGAATAGAAGGGGGGAAAAAACCCAAACCCAGGGCCTTTATTTTCCTTCTTCCCTCCCTTTTCATTTTCCCTTTCCTCTCGGTGCAATCAAGCCAACTAAACAGGGCAGGAGTTTCTCCATCTCCATTAGCAGCAGAGGAAGTGGATGCATTGCCAGGCCCTGTTCTGGCTGTTTATCTTGCCATCTCTTATTACCTGCCTGAGTTTCTTAAGCCAAAGTCGATCACCCACAAGTTCTGAAGTCACTATCAGATGTTGGGGTGATGCAGGACAATTTCTATCTGTTCTCTTCTGATTCCTGTTTCCTGACCTAAATTTCCTGTATCACCAGACATCCAGGTCCATCCCTCCCGTGTCTTGCTGTATCATTAGGAAGAGATATTTGGGTGATGGAGGAAAAGGTCAGAGCTTAACTCCTTGGAGCAGTGCAGTTAAATATGGGAGTATTCAGTGATGGGCTCAGTCCTATAATGTGCTGAACATCCTCACTGCTGCCAGCAGAAATTCTGGCTCTGGGGAGCAAGCCCCTTAATTTGAAGAGCTATTGCTTGGCTCATCCAGCCTTTTCTCAGAGCAGGACATGAAAGTGAATATCATGTCCAATTAAAGGGAATCCTGCCTTAGTGACCTCAATGAAAATTTGACTGGGGTGGCAGGATTAACTCTCCTGCCTTGGAAAATGGGCCCTATAAATATGTATTCTGGTATAATCCTGTCCTAAACGACATTCAGCTTGTGGGAAGTAGTGCTTATCCCCCTTCCCAGGAGTGCAGAGTGTCTAGGCATTAGATTTCAGGGATATGCCAAGTTCAGCACATGGCTCTGGGACTTTTTGCCCCTTCCCACAGCCTGATAGGAAAGGAAAAGTGGTGAGAGGAGGTGGGAAAGTGGGTCTCCCCTTTTAAACAGGGTTACTCCAGGTGCAGCCAGCAAGAGGGAGGTGTACAAGTTGCTCTAAGCAGGTCTTGACTTTCCCCTCCCTGTACCAGGAAAGGGCCTGGGGGCACAGCTCTGGGATGCAGGAGCACTCCAGGCTCTGAGGATGCAATTAAAATGTGCCCTGGGGCAGGCTGCACTCTCCAAAGGGACTGACTGCAGGGGGCAAGGAACTCTTCTCCTTCCAGCCAGGACTTCAGCAGCCTGCTGTTCCCTCAGGCAGGCAGGATGGGTGCATATCAGCCAGGGTCCAGGCACCCTCAGGCCATGGAGTGCATCCCTCCTTCTCCCCAGGTTTAGGTGCTATCACTAGGAAACAGCTGTGGATGTAGGGAATCAGCTGAGGCATCCATGGTGTTGGCCAAGGAGTGCTGGAGGGAAATGGTGCTATGAGGGGAGAGAGCAAAAAACAGGGATAGGAGTGGGAGAAGGAGCTTCTTTTAGGGTATGAGGGTTGGGAATGGCTCTCCAAGGCAGTGGGAGAGAATCAGCTAGAAAGAGTCAGAACTGAGGATGTCCACACTGCAGCAAGGGGAGTGCTGCACATTTATTTCTGGGTTGGCTGTATCGATGGCCGAGATCCCAAAATAGGTGGGTAGAAGGCACCTCAAGAGCTAATTTAGCCTGTCCCCCTGCAACAAGGCAGAAGTATCGCTGCCAAACACATGTGAAAGCTATTCTTGAAAATCTTTAACAAAGCAGGTTCTTCAGTCTCCCCAGACAATCTATTCTACTGCTTCGCTACCTTTATAATTAGAAAATGTATAGCTAATATCTAACTTAAACCTTCTTTGTCGCAAGTGAAGTGGAGTTTTTTTCTCAGCCTATTCCCAGTGGATGTAGGGAACAATTGATCAGTGTCCTCTGTAATAACCTTTTGCTTTTGGGAAGGTTGTTATCCTGATGCCCCTTAGCCACCTTCTTTCTGAAACCATCCCAGCTCCGTTTCTCCCACCTTTTCTCATCGGTCAAGCTTTCAGAAACACTTGTCAGTCTTGAACCCCTGCTACAAAAGGGAAAAGGTGATTGCTGCTGATCCAGGAATAGCAGGTCGGTGCCTCTGAGCTAATGTGGGGCAAATGAGCCCAGGAATGAGACAACAGCCCCTTGGCACTGAATGCATCGAAGTTCAGACCTGCTATTTCGGGCACTGCTCTAAATGGGGTCAGGCTGGTGATGCCAAGTTGATGTGAGCTAACAGCAGAGCTGCCAAAGGGACAAGGATGTTCTCAGCACCTGGATCTCCCCTGGAAAGAGGCTCCCAGATTACAGGCAGACCTAAAATAAGCAGCTCAGGGAGCATCCGTGTCATCTGCAGGTGGTCTCACTCCTTCATTCATTTCTTCATAGAAGGAGTTGCTATAAGCCCTGACAAAGCACAGGGAAGCAGCATTGCCTGTGTTTGCAGGAGTTTGCCTTGGATCCTAGGGAGAGTGAGGTGTTTCTGGGTAAAAATCCCAAAGAGACAAAATCCAGGGAAGCCCCATTTGTAATAAGCAAGCTCTGAACTTGGAGGGAGACAGAAACTCAGAGCGAGAAAGAGGATTTATGCCCCATTAACCTCCGAGTGATGCTTTCCCTTCCTCTCCTCTCCTGTATCTCTCTGGTTTCCTTAGCCAGTCCCACTTCTTGCAGCAGCATCTCAGGCACAACCTCCCCCTTCTCCCTGCTCCCTGCAGGACACTTCAGCTATTTAAGCCTTTCTCTGGGTTCCTGGGTTTAAAAGAGAGAGGGGAGGGAGGAGGAGAAGGACTATATCGGGGAAAGCTCTTATTTGTGTTGATAATAAGCCGTCTCCAATGCACGTCTGCAAAACATTCCCCCTGCCTTGTAAGATGCATTAAGGGAAGTTGGGCCTTATCTCAGCACTGGAAATGGACTTGGGGAAGGAGGCACAGCGCCTGCCAGAGTTTAATCTCACTTAGGCACACGAATTTGCATGATAGAAAATGGTGGCATTTTAGTGCTTAGAAAGAAAGAAATAAAGAAGGGGGAAAAAATAAAAGAAGCAAAAAGCAGGGAAGTAGGGGATATTAGAGCTTTCCTGCTTCTTTATCAGTTTCCCTGGCCCTATCTGGCTCTTGCTGTTGTCACTGGAGCAACTAATCACCCCTCCCCTTTTGTTTGGTGTAAATGAGTTTTCCCACACTTTCCCGAGGTTAATCTGCAAATCCCTGCCTTTGTCTGGGAGTTAATTACCTGCTCAGCAGAGTCGGGGGGCTGCGGGTGCAGGTGGCACAGAGTGGCAAGGGGCAGAGGTGGCACTGCTGGTGACACCTCACCCTGTACTGGAGCAGCACTGCCAAGGTGTGTGCTGGGGAGATAAAGCTGCCATGGGGCTGTGGCACCTCAGGTGGCTTTGTTTCAACCATCCCTGCCTTTGTCTGGGAGTTAATTACCTGCTCAGCAGAGTCGGGGGGCTGCGGGTGCAGGTGGCACAGAGTGGCAAGGGGCAGAGGTGGCACTGCTGGTGACACCTCACCCTGTACTGGAGCAGCACTGCCAAGGTGTGTGCTGGGGAGATAAAGCTGCCATGGGGCTGTGGCACCTCAGGTGGCTTTGTTTCAACCACCCAACTCTGTCCAATTAATTTTTCTCTGATTCCATGAACTTCTTTTGCTCGTGGGAAAGCAAGGATAACTTTTTGAAGCCAGTTTCCTTCCTCGCTGCATGGGAAAAACACCTGCCCTGGGAGCAGAGGGGCTGGGAGGAAGGTTCAGTCCCTGTGGTCATCATCACCTTACTCCTGGGGCGGAGCTTTGTGCTGCCAAAACCACCAGTTCTGGGAGTGAGGAGGGGCAAAGAGATTTGCCCAGGACTCTTGGGTAGCTCAGTGGCAGAGAGGTCACATATGAATCCATGAGCTGGAGTTTCCCACTGGACAGGATGCTCACTCTGCTTCTGCCATGGATTTTACTGGTATATCCATACTTTTCCCCCATGGGAGCAGCTGTTCCTTCCAGAAGCAAAAGCAGGTTTAGATAATGCCTTCTAAAAGGTGTGTGGGAAGTTGGGATACCCTCCCCAAACCGGTGGAGGGGAGGAAACCAGCAGCACAGAATCAATTCTCCCTCACTTCACCCCCACTCTGAGCTCCTTTGACTGATGTGTTCCTTCCTCGAC